GCACCACTTCCGGCTTTTTTCTTTTTGCTTATGTGGTGCTGAGGAATCGAACCCAGGGCCTCATGCATGCAAGGCAAGCACTCTACCACTGAGCCACATTCTCAGCCCAGTAAAATGCCTTAAAGCTAATGGAAACCAGGCAGCAGTAACTCAAGCATGTAATCCTAGCTACTCAAAGAGACAGATCTGACTATCCCAGTTTGCAGTCAACCCAGCGCAGAAAACTCTTCAGGACACATCTCCATTTAACCAGCAAAAAGCTAGAGCTAGAGGTGTGGCTCAAACGGTAGAACCCTCTGTTTTGGCTTAGAATTTGGATCACATAGGTAAGGTGAATCATAGCATGCAGGTGGACTGTTTGGCTCTGCTTAGATGCAGAAGTCAATAAATATTTAAATAATTCTACTTTGGAGGGGGAATGTGTTTGAATTTGGATTTTTAAACACGTGCATGAAGTTGTTTATTTTTTAAGAACCATTCAAGGCCAGAGATAACTGTTAGGAACTTAACTTGAATATGAATACCCAATGATTTTTATTGTTTTGTTTTTGAACTTTGATTTCATGTGTGTTTCTTTCTGCCTTATTATTCAAATTGGTGTTTTTCCCCTTCAGCCCCTTATTAGGATATGCAGCCTGATGTAATGCTTAAAGCCTGGGTCAGTCAGAGGGCATGTCCACATCTCCATTTCCTTGAAATATTAAAATACAAACAAGCAAATAATAGCAGCCTATAACCCATAATCAAGTTTTGGCCCTCAGAAAATAATTCCAGGGAGAATAATCGTGAAAAGTAACTCAAACTACAGTTTCTCTAGAATTCTATTTGCCCCACTGGCGGAGGGTCAGAAATCTGGCTCCCTTAATTTGTTGTGTGTAGCCCAAGTTTTAGGTTAATAGATTCACCCCTTTACTGCTTTCTGCTTTTAGATAGATTGTTTCTCTTTTTTATTTCATTTATGGAGTCTTTATTTCTGAAGAAAATACAATTTTTTTTCTTTCTAATATAGGACAAGGACAAATACCAGTTTGGTAAGACAAAGATCTTTTTCCGGGCTGGTCAAGTGGCCTATCTAGAAAAGCTCAGGGCAGACAAACTGAGGGCTGCCTGTATCCGGATCCAGAAAACCATCCGAGGGTGGCTGCTAAGGAAGAAGTACCTGCGGATGCAGAGGGCTGCCATTACTGTGCAGAGATATGTGCGGGGTTATCAGGCTCGATGGTAGGTATAAAGTTCAGCCAACTCGGGCCTTCAGACCTTTGTTTCATACTTGCCTGTGGAGCTGGATGAAGTCATGTGTTAAGTCATGCTGTGGAGCAAGTCTGTAATCCTATCTACTTAGGAATCTGAGATCTGAGGGTCTTGGTTCAAAGCCAGCCCAGGCAGGAAAGTCTATGAGCCTCATCTCTCCAATTAGCCAGAAAAATGCTGGAAAAAAAGCTGTGGCTCAAGTGGTAGAGCATACCAGTTTTGAGCAAAAAAGCCAAATGAGAGGATGGGGCCCTGAATTCAAACCTAGTAGCAGCACCAAGAAAAAAAGAAGTCATATGTTAATTAGAATGGTCATGCATAGGAACTAGTTAATAATGACTCCATTTAGGGAGCAATTAACATTTTAAAGTCTTAAAAAGAATTAGATATACTTGAGTGTGCTTGTATGTTAAGACAATGTTAATTTAGATGTGCAAAATAGACATGAATTATAGACAAAGACCATTTACTCAAATACTCAGGAAGAAGATGGGAATTAACCGTGGCTAGATCTAAGCTAGCTCCTAATCTGCATATATGGGATTAATGCATTCATCAGTCTGCTATGCAGAGAATAGAATGACATAGGGCAGACTGAAGAGCTTACTCCTAGAAAGCATGATCTCTTGTTAACTTCCCTCTCTCCAGCAACAAGGGACCTCCTACTTTCCAGAATTAGCCGAGCTTCAGATGAGATCATGAAAGCAAAAATACATCGAGAAACTATAGATATAAGTAAATATGAATGTTGCTTTTTGGTGCCCATTGTTACATTAAGGCAACTGCTCATTATGCATAAGACATTGACACCAAGTGTTGCTTTTTTCTGATTACTGACAATGCACTGCTCCTTTCTTCAACCAGCTATGCTAAGTTTCTGCGCAGAACCAAGGCAGCCACCATCATTCAGAAGAACTGGCGCATGTACGTGGTCCGCAAGAAGTACAAGATTAGACGTGCTGCCACTATTGTCCTTCAGTCATATTTGCGAGGCTACTTGGCCAGGAACCGCTATCACAAGGTGAGATGTTATTTTCTTTTTATTTATAATTTTTTTATTGAGATTAAGTGATTACATAAATTTCACAGTGTTGTGAGATCATGATACTTAGTTAAAGTCACAAACACATTTTAACCTTCACAAGGCAAATTGTCATTATTATGGTGTATAATATTTGTGAATTCTATGAGCTTTGACAATCCAACTATTTCTTCTACATCAGGTCATATGTACATTTCTTTCCTTTTGCTTCGTGAATGCTGTTCCTCTTTCCCTCTCATTCCCTCCTTGCCCTTGAGTTGCTTAGTTCGTTTTTATCAATATCCAGTGCAGCTGATGGGTCCCTCTGTTGTATATTTTCCCCTGTTTCCTTCTGATTCTGTGTCTTCCTCCTAGCTTCCCTCAGATGTGCACATATATATACCATATATGTGGTCGAGAACATGGAGTCATTTAGTAATGATACGACAAAATGAGTGGCGGTCCTTTGTCTCTCGAGTTCTATTTACTTTGTCATATCTCTTTGCATTTTGGATTTAACATCCACATATCAGGGAGACCATGTGCCATTTGCCTCTCTGATCTTGGCTTTCCTTGCTCAAAATGATTTGTTCTAGTTCTATCCATTTCCCTGCAAATGCCATTATTTTGTCCTTTCTAATGGCTGCATGATATTCCATTGTATATAGGTACCACAATTTTTGGATCCATTCATCTGTAGTGAGGCATCTAGGTTTTTTCCATATCTTGGCTATTGTGAACAGTGCTACAATGAACATGGAGGTGCATGTATCCTTGTATCCTGGTTCCTGTTGCTCAGGATAGATGCCTAGGAGTAGTATGGTTGGGTCATAGGGAAGGTCTATATTTAGCTTTCTTTCTTTTTTTTTTTTTTTTGGTCCGGTCGTGGGGCCTGAACTCTGGGCCTGGGCACTGTCCCTCAGCTCTTCAGCTCAAGGCTAGTGCTCTACCACTTGAGCCACAGCGCCACTTCCGGCTTTTTTCTTTTTGCTTATGTGGTGCTGAGGAATCGAACCCAGGGCCTCGAGCATGCAAGGCAAGCGCTCTACCACTGAGCCACCTTCCCAGCCCCTATATTTAGCTTTCTGAGGTACCTCCAGACTGCTTTCCAAAGTGGTTTTTTAGTATACATTCCCACCAATAATGCAATAGGGTTCCTCTTTCTCTGCATCTCAGCCAGCATTTGTCATTGGCTTAATTTAGGATGTAGGCCATTCTGACTGGGGTAAGGTGGTATCTCAGGGTTGTTTTTATTTCCATTTCCTTTACAGCCAGGGATGATGAACATTTCCTTATGTTTCTTTGCCATTTTTATCTCTTCTTCTGAGAAGTCTCTCTTTAGCTTCCTTGCCCATTTAATGATTGGTTTGTTAGATTTGGGAGGGATTGGTTTCTTGAGTTCCCTGTATATAATGGATATTAGGCCCTGCTGGTAAACATTTTTTTTTTCCCAATTAGTTGGTTGTCTTTCTAGTTTGGTAGCTATGTCTTTAGCTGTGCAGGGTGAGATGTTATTTTCAACCCCATTTCTTCATTTTACTAACAATCAAATTCTGCATCCATACACAGACCAAGGGGGCTGCTATGGACATAAGAACCAGAGGGAGATGGCCAACCATTGAAATGTATTTTAAAGCGTTAAGTAATTACATGCATTTACTCAGACATATCCAAGGAAGATTTCTCTCTCCTTTCTCTTCTTGTCCGGATAATTTGAAAAAAGAAGAAACGTGAATGTGTTAAAAAAAAAAAAAAACCATGCAGACTTGGTTGTTTTAAGCAACAGTAATTGTTTATCTCACTTTTCTGGAGGCCACAAGTTCAAAAATCATTATCTCTGGTCCAGCAGTAGATGCCACACTTTCCACTAAAGCTGCAGTACAGAGTCCAGTCCTTGCCTCTTCCAGCTGAGGATGCCAGCATTCCCTGGGCTTGTGGCCACATCCCACCTCTGCTCCGTCTCCACATCATCTTCTCAGCATATCTGACTTTTCATGTTTGCTTCTTATGTAAATTCTGATACTATTTAGGTCCTACCTTGAGAATTCAGAATGATTTCCCCATCTCAAGATTCTTAGCATGGTTACATTTCCAAGTACCTGTTTTGTTTTTTGTTTTTTTTGTTTTCCAAATGAAATGAACAATTATAGGTTTGAGAGACTGACTTGGAACTTAGTATGTAGCTCAGGCTAGTCTCAAACTCATGATTCTTCTAAGAGTGTTGCGATTACAGTCACAAATGACGATGCCCAGCTTTTTTATGTTATATCTGGCTCCTTGGCTTAATAAACATGGGTTGGTAGTCTGGTCCAGGCTCTTACCTTGTTTGTCCTTTCTGCAGATTCTCCGTGAGCACAAAGCAGTCATCATTCAGAAGTGGGTCCGGGGCTGGCTGGCCCGCACACACTACAGGAGGACTTTGGAAGCTATCATCTACCTTCAGTGCTGCTTCCGGCGGATGATGGCCAAGCGTGAGTTAAAGAAACTCAAAATTGAGGCTCGCTCCGTGGAGCGCTACAAGAAGCTCCACATCGGCATGGAGAACAAGATCATGCAGCTGCAGCGTAAGGTGGATGAGCAGGTAGGTTTACACAGGAGCCCCAAGAATGGACATTTTAGTGTGGTCTCTCTTGATCTGCTGCTTTAGTCTCACTACAAAGTAAAAAAATGACAGGAGTGAGCATAGAAATGAGGACAAGCTTATGGTCATTTGGGATTATCATCATTTGTAGTCATCCTTCAGATTACAGTCCCAAGGAAGAAGGCAGGAATTTGTTTTTGAGAACATCTTAATCCTAACCCAAACCCCATCTGTGTGTTTGTATTTGTGTGTGTGCCAGTCCTGCGCTTGAACTCAGGACCTTGCACTCTCACTGCTTTTTCATTCAAGGCTGGTACTCTACTGCTTGAGCCACACCTCCACTGCTGGCTTGCTTTCTTTTCTTTCTTTCTCTCTCTCTTTCTTTCTTTCTTTCTCCTTTCTCTCTTTCTTTTCTTTTCTTTCTGTTTTTTTTT